GGGGGGGATAAGAATAACCTTGTTTCATGCCACACACCACACCCAGTCACCCGCCCTGGAAACGGGTGAGGGGAGGGACCACATCCAGTCAACCACATCCAGTCCTAACGGGTGAGGGAGGGGGGAGGGGGGTGGAGGGGGGGGACAAGAAAAAGCTTGTTTGACGCGCTCAACACAACCGCATCCAGTCACCCGCCCTGCAACGGGGGGAGGGGGGGGGGGGAAGGGGGGGGGATAAGAATAAGCTTGTTTGACGCCACACACCACACCCAGTCACCCGCCCTGGAAACGGGTGAGGGGAGGGGGGATGGGGGGGGGGTTTCGAGGGGCAAAAACGACTGTTGTTGACCAACGCGCCCTGCACGGTCAGCCGCAGGGGGAGCCCTGCACGGTCAGCCGCAGTGCTTGGGAGGGGGTGGAGGGGGAAGGGGGCGAGGGGGGGCTTGGGCGGGCTAGGCGTCTACAGACATCTGACCCAAGGGGAGCCTTCCACGCAAGGCCTCAGGTCAGTTGTTTCTGGGTCCAGGGTTCGGGTTTGGAGGGGTAAACAAACGACTGTTGTTGCCCGATGCGCCCTGCACGGTCAGCCGGAGTGCTTGGGAGGGGGTGGAGGGGGAAGGGGGAAGGGGGGGGCTGGGTGTTTACAGGCATCTGACCCGAGGGAAGCTTTCCACACAAGGCATCGGGTCAGTTCCTTCTGGGTTCAGGGTTCGGTTTTCGAGGGGCAAAAAACGACTGTTGTTGACCAATGCGCCCTGCACGGTCAGCCGCAGTGCTTGGGAGGGGGTGGAGGGGGAAGGGGGGGAGGGGGGGCTTGGGCGGGCTGGGCGTCTACAGACATCTGACCCAAGGGGGCCTTTCAGGCAAGGCCTCAGGTCAGTTGTTTCTGGGTCCAGGGTTCGGGTTTGGAGGGGCAAAAAAACGACTGTTGTTGCCCGATGCGCCCTGCACGGTCAGTCGGAGTGCTTGGGAGGGGGTGGAGGGGGAAGGGGGAAGGGGGGGGCTGGGTGTTTACAGGCATCTGACCCGAGGGAAGCTTTCCACACAAGGCCTCGGGTCAGTTCCTTCTAAATTCGGGGTTCGGGTTTCGAGGGGCAAAAAAAACGACTGTTGTTGACCAATGCGCCCTGCACGGTCAGCCGCAGTGCTTGGGAGGGGGTGGAGGGGGAAGGGGGGGAGGGGGGGCTTGGGCGGGCTGGGCGTCTACAGACATCTGACCCAAGGGGGGCCTTCCACGCAAGGCCTCAGGTCAGTTGTTTCTGGGTCCAGGGTTCGGGTTTGGAGGGGCAAAAAAACGACTGTTGTTGCCCGATGCGCCCTGCACGGTCAGCCGGAGTGCTTGGGAGGGGGTGGAGGGGGAAGGGGGAAAGGGGGGGCTGGGTGTTTACAGGCATCTGACCCGAGGGAAGCTTTCCACACAAGGCCTCGGGTCAGTTCCTTCTGGGTTCAGGGTTCGGGTTTCGAGGGGCATAAAAAACGACTGTTGTTGAAGGTGGGCACAAGTGACAGGTCTGCGTTTTGGCGGGAGGTGGCCCAAAGTGCGGCCCTGCTGTGATTTGAGGCACGTACGCGGGCACAAGTGACCCGCGTAAGGCGGGCACAACTGACCAGCCTAAAGCGGGCGCAAGCGACCGGTCTGCCCGACCAGAGGGCCAGAGGACCAGGGCACCCGAGGACCAGGGGACCAGAGGACCAGGGGACCGGAGGACCAGGGGACCAGAGGACCAGGGGACCAGAGGACCAGAGGACCAGAAGGCCTGGGGCCAACGTTACCAAGGCCACCATGCCAAGGCCAACGTTAGGAAAGAAAAAAACACCGGGCCCCTTTTCCCTACACACACCACAAAAACTTTGTTGAAACGAAACTAAGACGCAACTCGACGCTGTCCCCTATCCACACCACACATTGAAACGAAACTAACACGCAATTAAGCGCTTTCCCCTATACACACCACAAACTGACACGAAACTAAGACGCAATTAAATTAAACACAAACACATGAGAATAAAGCGAAACTCAGACGCGATTGAACGCTTAATCGTGTCTTAGTTTCGTTTCAATTTGTGGTATGCTTGAAAGCATTTCATTGCGCCTTTTCTTCGTGTCAGCTTGTGGTGTGTGTTCGCGGAAAGCTTTTAATTGCGTCTTAGTTCCATTTCAGTCTTTTCGTGGGTGTGTACAGGGGAAAGCGCTTGCAACCCTTTGCCGAAAAGGCACTACCGAGGCATCAGGGAGCGGTCTCAGAGGTTTCGCTTGCAAAAATGCGCGTCGTTCTCGATTCCTCGTGGCATTCGTTGGGAGGGGGAGAGAGCGTAAACTGGGCGTAAACCGTGCGCATTGCACATCTGCGCGAGCCCTTCTTCTGCTTGGAGCCTGCATATTGCACCACGCCGCGAGCCGCGAGACGCGAGCCGCGAGCGCGCATGCCGCGCTGCATACAATTGAGCCCGCAGATTGCGACCATCGGTTCACACGCTGGAAGGGAGCGCAACCTAGCCTTCTGGCACAATACAAACTGTACATAGAAAAAGCTTCTCTTGAAACTGCCGAAGCTAACAAGAGCTGTTTTGCGTCTGAGCGGCTGTAGCGTTGTTGGGGCGTCATCGTCTTGCGCTGGCTCAGGGCCTTCAGAAACAGAGGGGCTTAGGTGGGGGAAGAGCCCTCAGCTTGATGCCTAATAAGAATCGCACCTGGGCGCGGCTCAGCTTGTCTTTCCCACCTTTCAAAACATAGGAAACGAAAGTAACGTCATCCTCTCCAAAAGAAAGCACATAGCAGGAGCCAGAAGCATCTTTCCTGACGTTCCAAACGGACTCAGCATGTCTCGCCCAGGCCTCGGCCCGTGAAGTACTCCATCGCCTGCCGCACTTAACAGCTGCTCCAGATCTTCGCTTCCCCGCCGGTCCCGAAAGCAATGCTGTATTTGTTGCCCAAGAAAAGTACCTCCTGCTCCTACCCTTGTGGGCTCAGGGTACGCTCACCGCAGGACACATATCTGACATATCTCGCACATCCCAACACCGCACAAGTATCCGTCTTGCTTGGCCCATGGAGCGGTCACCAGCTCCCCTCCGTTGGCATCTCAATGCGGGTACTTGGAAGTCTTCTTCGTTCAGGCTATGTCGCTACTCTCAGATGCTTTAAGCGGATCACATCTGGGGCACGGCGTATCATATGCCGGGTCTGCCCAGCACCTCCGAAACTCCCCCCCACCACCCCCGGAGCCTTGTCTTTTGGAAGTGTCGGCATCGAGGCCGAGTTTCCCTCTCCAGGTGCGAGTTGACAACAGAAGGCAAAAAAAACCAAGAACGGGGGAGTCTTTCCAAAAGGACAAAAAAGCCAAGAGCCAAGAGTCACAAAAAGCCGGAGAAAAAAGAGGCCCCTGCAGAGCCTTGCGGGAGAGCTCGGCAGACTCGGCAGGCGCCTCGCGGGCTAATTGTGGACGTCGCGTGAAGACCGTGAAGAGAGCGCTTCTTCGTCTCTCACAATCCGCCTTCCCTCGACTACAAGTGGGAAACAAAAGCGGAGAGAGAGCGAGAGAGAAAAGAACATGCTGGCTGAGGGCCAGGCATAGCCTTACGATGGCCGAAGACTGCAAGAACTGGACTCCAACATACTCCAACTTATTCCTCCAACTCTTTTCCCTCCAATTCTTATTCCTTCTTCTCTGGCCTTGTCGTGCGGTCCCTTGAGGAAGCCCCACTGGCCCTCCCAGTTGGCCGCCGTCCTGGGCACTTGGCCGCAAGGGAAGGCACTCTGAAAATCGCTCTGTCTCTTCTATGCTCAACAACTGGGCTCCGGACTTCAGCTCCGTGTCGATGAGCTGCTTCCAAATCTCCATCTGGTGACAAACGTTCTTCGCCTCTCCGATCTGTTGATGTCGCGACGTTGCTGGGAACATTGTGCGAACTTGCGAACTGCGATGCCAAGATGGGCCAAGATGCCTTTGCTTCCTCCATGGCTCAAGCAAAAAGTGGGTCAAACAACCCTCCACACGCTGAAGAAAGGCTGCAGAGGAAGGATCATTTATTAACCAAAGGTCCGACAGGTCTGACATTGGAACTACTGGGACAGATCTGAGAGCTTCCACCAAACACACGCGTGATGCCATGTACTTGCACGCTGAACCAGATGAGCAACGTTGCGGAATGCGGGCCATGTTCTGCATGATGTCTTACGCGGCGCATTCTCACAGCAGCAGAGTTGTCACAGGAACGATGTATAACATGACAGTCTCTTCAGCATGAGGCGCTGCGAAAACGAGATTTGAGCATGATGCTGGCACGGGGTCGTGCTTTGACCATGTCCCAGCGGAAAAGCCCACATGCCATGCATTCCCAAATCACTACATAACTACGCGACCTGATGGCGTGCATTCGCAGCTCAGGCCTGAGCACAGCTGAGGTGTAAAAGCAAAACCGATCCGAAAACAGGAGGCAGCTTCGAGTACATTCTAGGAATATGCATCGGATACATGGACACCCATACTAACATGTCACTCACGGGTTTAACATCGAGATTCAGTTACACCTTCTTACCACGTGTCGCCTCCTTCACTTCCCCTACGCCCTACGCAACGCTACAAACTTCGACCGCTGCCGTTGACGGCTGAATTCTCAAAGCGGTAAACTCTCGAACCCGACACGGAAACACTCGAGAACACTCGAGAACACTCGAGAACACCCGAGAAGAGCCGAGAAGACTCGAGAGCCGCGCGTCGTCGTAGCGGTGCCCGCACGCGTGGCAGAACCGGGATCCAGACCTCGGATGGATCCTTTGTGAACTTCAGGCGAGGACCTCTAGCGATTCTGGCGACTCGTCTAGTGGCATGCAAGGTGTCGGGGGCAGAGCTTTCTGGCATCATGGCTGCCATTCGGGGCCCGAAGGGGTCTTTACTGAGTCTTTGTTGGAATCCTGCAAACTGGAATCCTTCAGGGGGCCCCATGCGGGGCCCACGCGTGGCCTATTCGAGGCCGGAAGACTGTTTTGGTACGCTTCCAGGGCCACGTGCGGGGCTGAAGGATTTTCTCATTCGTCCCCTTTAGAGGACTCTCTGTCTCTCCTTGCACTCTCTCCGCACGCTTTCTTTCATTCATTCTTTCTTTCTTGTAACTCTCTCTCTCTCTCTCGCTGCGTGCTCGCTCTCTCTCTCTCTCTCTCTCTCTCTCTCTCTCTCTCTACCTGTCCGCAAAGCCCCCGAAGGGGCCGCACCAAGGCGCGCATCATCTCAAGCACGAGCCAAATCCGAATTCCGCTGAGCAGGTTTTGTTCTTTTGTTCTGCTGGGCATGTAGGGTGCCAGTTGGGCCCAAGAGGGCATCTTGGCCGAATCCAGGTTTCAAGTTGGCCCAAGAGGGGCATCTTGGCCAAATCAAGTTGGGGTTAAGAGGGGTATCTTGGCCGAATCCAGGTTTCAAGTTGGGCCCAAAACAGGCATCTTGTCCGAATCCAGGTTTCAAGTTGCGCCCAAGAGAGGGCATCTTGGCCGAGTCCGGGCTTCAAGTTGGGCCCAAGAGGGGCATCTTGGCCGAACCCAGGTTTCAAGTTGTGGTAAAAAGGGGCCTCTTGGCCGAATCCAGGTTTCAAGTTGTGGTAAAAAGGGGCATCTTGGCCGAATCCAGGTCTCAAGCCGGGCCCAACAGGGGCATCTTGGCCGAATCCAGGTTTCAAGTCCCAAGAGGGGCATCTTGGCCGAAGCCAGGCTTCAAGTTGGGCCCAGGAGGAGGCATCTTGGCCGAATCCAGGTTTCAAGTTGGGCCCAAAAGGGGCATCTTGGCCGAACCCAGGTTTCAAGTTGGGCTCAAGAGGGGCATCTTTGCCGAATCCAGGTTTCAAGTTGTCGCAGCTCATCACATGATTCTGCACAGTGGCCACGTAGTGCCGCATAGCGAAGACCCAGTCGTCCGTCGGGATGCGACGCCGCAGGACCATGTTTTTAGCCCGGCCAATCCACGCTTCTTTCCGCCCGTTGCCCTTGTAGTCATCGCCGGCGGTAGCGGTCTTGATGATGGTCTGGCTCCGACGGCTGCGCCAACAACGCGGAGGAGCGCTGCTGACACTGAAGCCGGGAGCACCGATAGTGGCGATGTCGGACCTGATGGAGATTGGATGTCGAATCGCTTGGGACCAAAGAAGGATGTCGGGTGGTACATCCCCGGCAAGGATCCTTTGATCTTCTTGTGGATGGTGGCCGAAATGGTGGCAAGGAGGAGAAAGTCGAGGGTGCGAAGGCGGTGGAGCTTCCATTCTTTGTGGGGTTGCCCAACAAAAAGGGGAGTGTGGTCCAGGCGGCGGTGGCTGAGATCCTCACCAAGCCGCAAGGTCAAGCTTGCCCGCCTTGATGACCGTGTGGACCCGGACGACAAGGACAAGGACAGGCCGAAAGGCAAGAGCAAGGGCAAAGGCCGCAAGCCCTGTTGGTCCTGGCAAGCTGGCACCGGCTGTCGTTTTGGGGCAGCTTGTTTGTTCCAACATGATCCCCTCGAGCCTTGTGGATCGTCCGAGCGCCTCAAGACAGGTTGCCCCTACGCGGGTCAAGGGGGAGGTGGAGGTGCGCCTGGGAATGGGGGAGGAAAAAATGAACTTCGTCAAGGTCGAGATTTTGATCGTCCGGCTGGGGGACACAAAGGAAAAGGGAAGGGAGGAGAGGACCCTTCGGCCAAAAAGCTGGAAGCTGATGGAGGGATGGGAGAGAGCTCGACCGCGGTGTCTTCCGGACAAGGTGTGGGTTCCTCGTCGACCGCGGCTCCAACGAGTTCGCCTGCAGCCCCGCCCCTACCTCATCGGCATCATCGCAGCAGGAGTTCTATCAGGAGGCGGCAAAGGTGCGGAAGTCTTTGCGGCTTGCCAAAGCGATGGCCTCCAACTCTCCAAGGACCAGCTGGGCATAGTCCAAAATGACCGCCTCCGACGCCTTAGAGTCCAGCCGCCTTTCCAATTTGAAGGACGACACCCGAAAGGAGGTGTTGGGTTGACGATTGCCTCCAAAGACATGGACACCAGCTTGTCCAGGCCACGACATAGAAGAGAGGGATCAGGTAGCACCCCATCCAGCTCCCGTCTGTAAAGGCGCAACCACTTTCGCCCCAACGTCAAGGCCCCATCCAACGATGTGCCAATGTCCGGGTTCGTCAAGAAGCGCCACAGGTGCGATTTCTCTGCAGCCCCGCGGGGTTGATAAACACAGAACACCACGAAGACCATTGCCTCGAACGTCAGGGCTCGCCGCTGATGGCCTCATGACGAAGTTCTTCGGGCAGGCAATCGAGGAGCAACATGGCGGGGCGGCACGTTGTTCGCTGGGGGTTTTGCGCGAGGACCTCCTGGCGCAAAGTCAACCTGGTCACGGGAGGTGAAGCCAGCCATCGAGCGTAGGTCGATTGGACCCTCTTCATCAAGCCCAACCACCAGGCCCCCGCAGTCGGACTGAGGGCGCTCATTGAAGGTTCCAGTCACCACCGCAGCATCTCCCCCTTTTGCACTGGGCAAGGCGGGCAACTTCATGACCAGCTTCGAGGGCTCCGATATTTAAGGGCGGCGCCGGTGAAGGAGTCGAAGGGCTGGCCCAAGACTCTCCAGCGACCAGGTGGAGGAGGTGGCGGTTGATCATCCACATATCCTGCCATGCAACCACCAACTCACCATTTCGAACTTCGCAAGGGCGTAGTTCTCCACCAATCCGCACCACCCCACATTGTTGTCCTGGAGGTGTCATCATCATCATCATCATCATCATCATCGACGGCGCTACGTTCCCTGGATATCCCATCCCAGGCGCCATTGTCGAACTCAACCTCCCCCACAGACCAAGGTCACCTCCACCGACTTCAACATGATCACGAGGTCCGAGCACTCGAGGAGGTTCAACGGGCCCTGCTGCATATCCGCCCAATCCTGAATTCGCTTCCGCCACTGGTCCCTGTAGACCTCCATTCCCCCACATTGGAACAACCAATTGGACCCGGTCGCCTGGAACTACAAAACCATCTTGGCCTTCAGCACCACGTCGTGCTTCCACCAAGTGCAGCGCGGTGCCCTGACGCACCGCCTGTGTGGGTTCCGGAAGATTTCCCTCCTCCAGACGAAGACCATCCAACCGAACCGCAGTAATACGTCAGCTTCAGTCGCCTCCCTTCTCACAAACTCCTCGGCCCACATTTGTTGAGCCCCAGGCAGGATCCACCCCAGTCCTGAGCTTCCGGATCGCTCAGTTGCCACAGGCTCTGGGCCATTCCCCGCGCTTGCCCCCAACCATGGAGCTGGCACCACGCGTTCATTTCCCACATAGCTCCAGACGGATTCGCCAAACCCGTAAGAAAACGCACCGACGAGCTCGGCCACGACGCCCACACAGGAGATGCCCTCCTGGATGGCAACAGCGATGTTTGTAGGAGCCGTCTGGGCGAAGACATAGAGCGCGTGGTTTTTGGAGGCGGTAACGAGGTCATCCAGGTTGATCCATCCACGCCACCATCCACGCCACCATTCGTCGCCACAACTGGCCCCATCCTTGCTTGAAATACGGAACTTGTCGGCTATCCAGGCCACCTGCAGACTGATCCGGTCCAGTGGTACTCCTCATCGGCCCGCCCGCTGCGGCTTCATCATCACGATTTCCCAACCGACACCTTCTCCCCAGACGCAGTTGCCTCGATTGCTCCAGGCGATCCATACGCCCCACCAAACTTCCAAGCAATGCCCTCATGAAGTCCAAGGCATGAGCCACCTGTATCTCACGCACAGGGACTGGTGGCTCAACGAAGTCGGAGCCGTGGATGGAGGCTGCCCGTCCCGGAGTCACGCCACGGCCCTCCAGGCCAGGCCGTGACTCCGCTGGACTTCCGTGGCTTCCGTGCTCTCCAATCCGCGCTTCCGGCTGTCCACAGCAGAAACATCCGGCCTCGGGGATCCATACTCCGGTTCACGATCTTCATCATCTAGACGTGTCGCTCCTCCTCTTCATCGTCCTCACCTGTGCGTTGGGCTCATAATCCCTGAAATCCAAAGGATCGGACTTTTGAGATCAGAAAAGCCTTCGAGTGAATGCAGAATCAAACCGCACGAGGGTTTGCTGGGACCGGCAGCGGTTCCCCTACGACTACTTGAGCAGAGCTGGCATCTCAGCGGCCCCTCTCAGCGCTGCTCTTCATTGTTGGCTTCGCTCCCCCGTCTGGCTACCACTGCGCTGAGTCTCTCTCTCCCGCTCTCTCAGTGCTCTTTCTGGTCCTGGGGAGAGTTAACTTGTAAGTTAACAGTAGCAAACTGTGTCGGGGTTATCTGGGTGGAAACGCACGCTGCAGCTTCGGAAAGCTCTGAGGCTGTGGCACGCGCGCATGGCCGCAGCTGGGGCAGCTCTCGCTTTCCACCCCCGTGACCTGCCAAATGCTGAGAAGTTCCAAAAAGAAAACAGAAAGGCTAAAGCGAAACTCTGTTCTCTGTTCTTTCTTCTGCCTTCTCTTCTCTGGGGCGGGGGCCAGGAGCCGCGAGAGGCCGTTGAGGCCGTCGGAGGGCCGGGGCAGCTCGGCCGCGGCCTTCAGCGCGGAGATCGTGGACACGGCCACGGCCTGGCCCTGCGAGCCCCGTCTCTTTACATCCCATCCCCTCCCCACTGGCTTTGAGCAGCTCTCCCAGTCTTAGAACTTTCCAAAAGGGGGGACCCGGGATCAAAGAGAAGTGACGTAAAAACACTTCTCTCAACGCGCTTGGGGACTCGGGGCCAACTTGGGGCAGCTGCGGGGAGCCGTGAAGGGGTGAAGGGGCGCGCCTTTGGAGGGCTCCGCAACTCCCCAGCGCCTTCCTGACGAGAGCAGCTCTCCGGGCTCTCCGGGCTCTCCGGGCTCTCCGGGCTCTCCTTCTTTTCCCCTGCTTTTCTCCCCATTGATGTGCGCAAGAAAAGCACAGCTTAGCTCAGATTGTCTCCTTTGCTACTTTCTCCCCTACAAAAATCCTCTCACTGCGGTTCACTCTCTCAAGAGGGGGGGCCACCTGGAGGACCTGGCTCTGCACTTCGACGACCTTCTCCAGGTACTCCACCCGATACCTCGGGACCTTCCAAGGACACATGCACAGAAATACTTCTCAAACAGAGATGTCTGCTTGCAGGCATCTAATATACATATGTATATATATATATATCTATTTATATGTCTATATGTGTGTATGACGTACTATGTACATGTCTCTGTCGCTCTCTCCTGACACTCCACGCCTCTTTGACCACCTCTTCGAGGACTGGCTGCAGCTCCTGACACGGCCAAACATACCCAATGCCCGCAGACAGCAGCTGTCCTCAACATCGACAAAGCCAGGCGGCACCAGCTTCAATGAGCCCGTGTTGGGGGGTCAAGTATAAGCTAAATAATTCCCGTCCATCTTCCGTTCATATAGAGACTAGAGACATCCACTCTGTAATGGCTGCGACGATGGAGTGGCCGTTTACGAAGCTGTGGACTGGAAATCTTCGGCCACAGTGGCTACATGTGCTCAGACGAATCAGATTCACATCTAATGTCAACTTTTCTAACCGCCGGAAACTCGATTATTTGGTATGTCCTCTTCCATAGGCACAGCTTCATCCCCGTGACGTCTCCTGGCGTGTCACCTCCACCACTTGCTGCTGCGGGATCTCTAAGATCTCCTCCTCCATCAAGACCGTTGGCTTGGCCTGAACTCTGCTCGGAACATCTCGGAACCATATTCTGAGTCCCAAGATGGAGGCTTGAAACAGTGCACAAGAATACGACTCTACGACTCTGTTCCCGGCCTGCACCTGCCGCTCTTCCACTTGGATGTCTACTGAGGGGACGGGCTTGTCCACGAACTCGCAGCAATGGGAGTTGCCGTGTGTGCCAGTGTCTCAAATGACAGCGACTGTGGTCGAAACTTTCTAACCCACCCTTTTCGGCTCCCGCTATCCCGCTATGGAGGGATGCTCCCCCCTCCCCGATGCTCCGTTGCTCTGCCCCGCACATGGCAGGCTTTCCCCGCCACTGTGAAAAAGTCTTTCAGCGAGACAGTGCTACCGCCATTTAGCCAGCCTCTCCAAGAACTCTTTTGATCAAGTCCAGTCCTTCTAGGGTTCAGGTTCTGGATGTTTCCACACAAAATGCTCATCCTAGATTTCATTTGCCCTTGCTAAGGCAAGTTGTTTTGCATGCTTCGCTGCGGTCTTTATATTTCGTCCGTCTAGCGGCCTAGCCGCCTGTGGTTTGCTAAGGGCGACATGGCCACCACAACAATGCAAGTGATTGCCATAGCTTCGAAACATGTCATGCATTTCCAGCTCTCTGAAGAGAACGTCTCGGTCAACGTCCAAACCCAGCAGTCACAACAAGCCCAGCTTGGCAGCGGCACAGCAACAATAGCAAAGCGCTGTGATTGCTGTGTTGCCAAAGTTTCAAAGTAGCGGCACAGCCCAACTATCAGCAACGAAAAGATCTGTGGAGCGCTCCCACATCTCTCATGAATTCGCTCTCGCATTCGCTGGGACAGAAAGAAGCCAGCCCCCTCCCGCCCTTCCTGCAGAGTCCATCAGATCTCTTGCAACCCAAACACCGAGAAACGGAACAACAAAGCGTAACAAGCCCCACCAAGCCAGACCAGCAGCCGTAGCAGGCGGCACCGCGCGCCCTTCTGTGAGCCCGTTCTTTTGTTCTTATTTTGTAGGGGCTTTTACACGGGCCAGTAACTTCAGGATAATATGGGCCCGTAATGAGCTTTATGATTACATTCTTACCCCGGGCATGTTTAGTGCATTTGTGATGTGCCCGGGAGTGAAACGAATCCGTGAACACACCATTATATTCACTAGCGAGCCCCGATTTTCTAATGCTTTTTTTAGGGGGCTCTTTAATGTATTCGTTACCGCTGCTGACAGGGCAGGTGCAAACGCGATCTTCAACACATGCTTCGGGTCTCCTCAGGTTCTCAAGTATTCTTTTCGGGAAACTGCCCAGATTCTCGGGCATTGCTCTGCAAGCAGAAAATCGTTGCATTTCGCCTTCGCTGACGGGCGCAGCGCTTGCGTGACCTCAGCGTCGCAAGGGAACACAAAACGGAGGCAAGAGGGCGCAACTGCAGGGAAAGCGAGGGGCGCGAAAGCGGCGCAAGAGCGGCGCGAAAGCGGCGCGAAAGCAGCAAAAACTGTTTTTGCTGGGCCCACGGCCACTGGCACCGTGTGCACCTGTGGCACCTCCACCAGCCGCTCCTCCCGGAGCACCACGGGCACCTCCACGGCCTCCACGAAGGAGCCAGGAAGAGAAGAGGAGAGACTCGTTTTACCGACATCAAGGTCTCGGAAGGAGCCAAAAAAAAACCGTGCCCCCTTCAGAGGCCTTCTCGCGCGTCTCCAGCGAGACAGTGGCGAACTCCCGTGGAACCTCCTTGTAGCTCACCTAAAGGTTCTGTTGCTGAAGAAGGTCGAGAGGCAAATGCATGTGTACAAATATATATATATATATATAAACATACATGCTTGATATGTGCTATCTGATAGGCGATACATGATGTATGATATATGGTACTCCCCCGCTGGATCTAGACACTCATGCAGACACATGATTTCAAGAAAAGCTGCAGCGAAGCACAAGAAAATCAAAATGACACAACCAGAACAAAAAGACGACGAACAAAAACCAATCTTCAGTGACTTCTGTGAGTGACTTCTGCGAGACATGCGAGAACCAAAAAACAAGTACCCAAAAAGCGATGCCAAAAACAAATAGAAAACCTAAGAACAGGACAGGAGGAGAAGTGAGGGAGAGGGGAGCCGGGAGATCTTCAAACGCCCCGCCTTGGGCACACGGACCTCGACGTCCACCCCCATGGCCTCCAAACGAGGATGCGTGACAGCGGGGATCCATGGGCTCAAGTTGGCTCCATGGGCTCCATGGGCTCCATGGGCTCCATGGGCTCCATGGGCTCCATGGGCTCGGGCCTGCGGGATCTCCACTACCCGTTCCTGCAGCGCTGTCGGAACGCAAGCCACATGATCACTGATCCCCATTGATCCCCATTGATCCCCGTATGTGCGCCTCCTGAAATGCTTGAGGGACCTGGAGCACCTTCTCCACTGCTCGCAAAGTGCACTTCGGCACATGCTTGTCCTGCCGTGAAGGCGCACTCACGGGACATCGGGAAATGGCATGGTTGCAGTGTCGTGGGATCACTGCCGACCATTTGTCTATGCACATCTTTTGTTGCTTCTCATGGCGGAGCCATCGGGGTCGGGAGGCGTTGATGCTCGGAAGGGGTACGGTTCTGGAGGGCGCTCTTTCGGTGTACAGCGAGCCCAATGCCCAACGCAGTCCCTAACTCCATAAATGGGATGGAGGGCAACACAACAACGTGGGCCCCCAATCCTGAACCCTAAACCGAAGCTGGCGGGCAATGCGAATCGCAACCACAAGACATGTATATAGGCTATATAGGCACTCCAAGAGAGCACACGTCTTCAAGTCTGTCCAGGTACTGGACCACGGGCACAGGCACCTGTCGAATCAGCTCCTGGCAGAGTCAACCCGCGTCACACTCGCCATAACAAAGCAAAGCAAGCAGGCTGCTTGACTTCGCCTTGACTTCGATCTCCGGAACCTCGACAATCCGCTCTTCGTAGACCTCCACGCGAAGCCGGGAACACATTCTGGTCCCCGTCTCGGGAACGCAGAAGAAGCAAATCGGTGTGCGGATTATGGCGGAACGAACTTCGGCTGAGGCCGAAGCCACTTGTGGTACTTCGACAGTCTTCTCAACCTTCTTGGGTGAAGGCTTGCAGTAGAAGCAGCCGAGAAGGGTAGTGTGTACATTGCTACAATACCGGCTGTACCCTCTGCTTCCGTGGAGCATATTGGATCACGGGTTTGGGGACTTTCTTCTCCACGAATTGCACCTCCGCAACCACGGACGCCGGGCCCAGCAGGAAAAGCAGCTGAGCTCAGCTCGCACCTCCACTTTGGGCACTTGGCGAAGGACTTCGCGCACTTCAACCTGGGCCACCTCAAGGGCAACTCTGTCGCAAAGTACGAGCACAAGCACAAGCTGCACAAGCTGCACAAGCTGCACAAGCTGCACAAGCTGCACAAGCTGCACAAGCTGCACAAGCTGCACAAGCTGCACAAGCTGCACAAGCTGCACAAGCTGCAAGTTGCACAAGGCTTTCCAAGCCTCCTTGGCGGTTTCGTGAATCTCGATGCTGGGCACTTCGACGATCCTAGACAATGCCGTGCACGAAGCCAAGAATCAAACTCGAATGACGTGCACGGGCCCGAAAGATCCTGTGCACAGGTCATGGGCTGAATCCCGACTTGGAAATTCAAGCTCACTCTTCTCAACTTTGGTCAATAGATTCTGCTGGCCCCACACTCGTGCAATCGACCTTGCCACCACCCTCAGCTCTGGCTCCCTCCATCGCATGAGGTTCCACCGAGTTCCACCCATTCTATATCTTCTTTTCTCGTGAGGGTCTGGCGCGCCTCCAAGCTGTTGACTGCCCTGAGAGCTCGCCCCCCGGCCACCGCGGCCACCGAACACGATTCAACACAATTCTCTCAAGGGCTGTTCTCAGAAGAACTCAGATGAAATATGAGGAATGTTGGAAAGCTTGCCTTGCGGTCCCCACCGCGTTGTGCGAGACTGAGATGGGGGAGCAGATTGCGTTTTTGACAAGCCAGAGCGCGGACAAGCAGACATCTTCAAAGAGACTTAACCCAGCACCTGTCAGCACGCATCAACCTTCTCATTCTCTCAATTTCCGGAGGAGTGGTCCGTCGATTCCGTGCGTGTCCTTCTCTGTTCTGTGTGATTCAATTCTCCGCCGTCACTCTATTCATCTCGATTCATCTCTATTCGAAAGTTTGGAGAGGTGGAGCCCAAAGACCAGCCATGTTGGAGTGACACGCGCGAGGTCGTCTCTCCCGTCTCCCGACGCATGACTGGAGACCGCGTTTGTTCATGGTGGTCCCTTTTTGCATCTTCTATGCAACTTGATTTCACATTTAAGTATACTGTAAGATGACATATGTTTACTACCTCATCTCCGTTGGATCGCCCCAACTGTGCGACCTTTCTGCCAGGCTCAGGGGCCACGGCCCCACCACGTTATACTTGGGTGTTGTCCACGGAAAATTCGGAGGGGAAGCTGATCTTTGCCACGCCGATCGGCAGCAGCCAGCAGGTGCCAAGAAGCGCGCTCTGTCGCTGGTCGCAGACGCAGGGACTGGAAGTCTCAAGAATTGCCCTCAGGGGCCACCCGGGCCTTTCGGTGAACTGGATTGCTGGAAGCTCCACCTAGTGCAGGCTGGATTCTTACCACCGCTATAGGGCATTGTGGCATTGTGACATGTCGAAATTCCGGCATCCCAAATTCAGGCAAGCCACTGGCTTCTCAACCCGCTGAACCTCGGGCTTCGGGACCTGCAGCCCACAGTCTCACGCAGTCTCACGCAGTCACACTCGATCCCGCTGAGCCGCAAAAGCGCTGAATCCGCTCAAACGAATCTCATAACAGAGCTCATCCGCATCGCTGTGCAGCTGGCTGTGCGCCAAAACATTGTCAGTCACTTATTCTGACAGGCTTGGGGGTCAAACGCTTGGCTGTGCAACATTGTGCTCTCGAGAAATGTCTTCAGCGTCTCCACTCTCTCTCTCTCTCTCTCTCCCAGCAGCCTCGCGGAGGAGCTCCACCTTCCTTTGCTGCGGCACCTTCTTGGACACCGAGACAGATCTGGGTTAGGCAATGTGACCGCAAGAGACACCTCCTGGATCTGTTCCCGGACCGTTGTTTGAGGGACCTGGTGAACTACAAGCATTGCTTCAAGCTGATAGAAACGCCATGGAGTCACTGGGCAAGAGCAGTAGACTTTAGTCGTTAAGTGACGTGCTGATGCCACTGAGCCAACATTGGTCCCGGACAAATGGCTGACAGTGTCTCGTCTGTTTCTTGCCCACCGTGCCTCTCGCACACTCTCTTTCCACTGCACGACGGGCTTTGCGAAGTGCTTGACCTCGGCAGTGCGGCAGGTGCGAAGATTTCTCCCGGAAGCTGGACTTGTCATCACTTCTGAAGTTGTCTTGTAGCTTTGTGAGCTGCGAGAGTCTTCGTCTGCACTTTGGCCACCTCTCTTGCAGATGCCGAGATGCAGATGCGCAAAGGAGCTGGGAGAGCTGCACGAGCGCGCACGAGGCGACTAATGACTAAGAAGCGACTCCCACCGCGACTCACCGCGACTCGGCCGCAACTTGGAAGCCTCGCGGAGGATCTCCACCGGCTGCGCTTGCTTCACTTCCACCAGTCGCTCCTCTCCACTTCTCAGGAAAGAGAAAAGAGGAAGAAATAGAGGAAGAAATAGAGGAAGAAATAGAGGAAGAAATAGAGGAAGGAGGAAGAGAACAAAGCAGAGAGACTGAAAAGAATAAACGAGAGCTTTTGCTTTTTGAGCCACCCCCTGTAGAAGGACGCGGATCCTGGAGGACCTCGGCGGGCACCTCCACCTCCGAAGTCCGGGCCTCGGCCACCAGCTTCTCCACCTTAGAGGGACCGAGGGAGAAAGAATGAAAGCCTCTCTCCACGCTCTCTCGTCGCTCTCCGCTCGCTCTCCGCTCGCTCTCCGCTCGCTCTCCGCTCGCCTGCACCAGCCGCTCTTGGTACTGTGCCTCAGTGGGAGAGTCAGTCGGGAAAGCCGCGACTTCTTGTGCTCCCCAAATCGACAAGCAGGGCTTGTCCGCCTTCGGCACCTGCTTCAGGACCTCCAAATACTGCACTTCCGGGACCTCTCAGACCAAAGCGATGGGGGCAAATGGGACTGGGACAAGGAGAGAGGAAATCGGACGCATGCTGTTGCACAGCCGATACAGTATGCTCGCCTCCACGACCTTCTCCTGGACCAGCGAAACAGGCACCTGTGACATGCGAGATGCGCCGAAAATCGTGCGATCGATGTCGACATGGATCAGGCACCCAGGGCTACTCAGGTACTCACAGCCAAGCGAATACATCTTGTGCCATACAAGTGACTCCAGCATGCTGAGAAGTCAGTTTCTTGCCCCTGCTAGCACTGTGTCGAAACTGTCAGCACTGCTTTGGCTGTCATTTCAACAACTAGACCTGATCGGCGTTTGCCTGCTGCTTGGGGCGTTTCTTTTTGCACTGGGCTCTGCCCATACTTATGCCTACACCCGGCAAAAAGTAGCAGATCAAGCTGGCAGCAACCTGGTCGTGTCGGCCTGCCTCGATGGTGCTGTCGGACACAGACACACAAGGGACCTGATGTGCTTGGTTTGTAGATCACAGCTTCAGGCAGGATCGCGACCACCTCCACCACCTTCTCGATGGACTGGATGTCCGGCTTCTCTCGTATCACCTGTCTCGGAGATCTCAGGTGGAAGGCCATTTGCAACCTTCTGGCGCCACTGAAGCGCACAGCAATGAAGAACGAGAACACAACGAGTTGTGGTCTGAAAGGCCGAGGCACCACCTGCAGTTGCCTCACGGAGTCCTCCCAAAGAACAAACAAAAGCAGGAGAGCTTCTCAGGCTGCGGTGTGTCCTCGGCCAAAGTGGTGGGTGCTGTCGAGGCCACCTCGACGATCTCCCTCACCTGTAAGGAGCAAAGGGAACTCCGTCAACATGGCGTCTAGGAGTCTAGAACAAGCAGACCAGGATCTAGCTTCCCTCCGCCTTTCCCACCCCAAAACGCAAGCTTCCCTGTTGTACGTCCCCCAAAGCTCACTTGAAGGCCGCTGGTGCAAAGTTTCAGGTTTGCTGTTTATCCTCCTCGACCCACGGTCGCTTTCCAGAGCACCTCCGAAGTGCACCGACACGCGCGTCCGGCTGCCAAGGCGGCTCGCGAAAGCGCTTACAATATGCACGCACCATCCGATGTCTGTATTTGACAAGTTGGAAATACTTGACACCGGCACAGATCCTAAAGGTCCCACGTACATACACATAAGTACAGATATACACATATACCGGTACACGTCTACCACAGATGTCATGCACATATATGTACATATATGCACATCTTTGGCTTCCTATATGCACATATATACACAAAAATATGTACAGTGAGTGAATGTACAGGTATGCAACATATGTATATAACATACATGTATATGTATGCATACATACCTCATATATACGTACATGCATACATACATAAACAAACTTGTGCGCACGCACGCACGCACCCACCCACATACACACACACACACACACACACACACACACATGCGGATGACGGTTAGTGGCCCGTACTTTGCACACGGAGTTGCACTTGCATGCTCCGGAACCCCGAGATTGTGATCGCGCCTGCGGCATGGCCGGCAGGGGCAGCATGGCCTGGGAGAATTGGCCCTGGCAGTGGCATGGCGAAACGCCCACATGGACGTTGCAAGCTTACCAGCACGTCCCATTTCCAGCCTGCACTGGCGCAGAGGTTTCCCGCACCACTTCCCTGGCAAGCCAAGACCGGGTACCATGGTATAAACTGCGAGCCACACCGAGTGACCACAGCCTTCTGTTCGAGCACGTGGATGTCGATGCCTCGGATGTGTTTTTTGCCGTTCAAGATGTGCTGTGTTCGCTCCCAGAGCAACGCATTTAATGGAGATCGAAAGAACGAGACGACGTCGACGACGTTCGGATGGGTCTTGACGCTTACGCCACTTTGGGACTTTGAGGCGTTGAGGACCTTTCAGGTTTCAGGACCATGACTATCTATCCTGCCCTATGACTCTATGACCACTGGCCAGCCATCAGGGCCTGTTCTGTTGATGCAAGGCTGGTGGCAGTTGCGACTCGAGTCTGTTCATGTCGTAGCTGGAAACGGTTGCAACAAAGAATCGAAGGATCGAAGCTGAGGTAGTGAAGCTGCATGTTTGTAATCATGGTAATCTCCTGGAACACGGGACGAGCCATGTTTCTGATCGTTCTTGATCACCGGATCAAGCTGCAGATGCAACTGCACTCAGAATGAGCCAGCCCAAAGCACAGAAACTATCAAGTCTGCTCAGTGCCTAAGCTGAGGCTGGCACTGACATCGGCGAGACAGGCGTGATGGAGGCACCCAGGGCCTCGCATTCGAGCAGTACTAGCACCCTCAGATACCCTCAGCATGTAAACGTGCTGCGATCCAAAGGCTTCGAGGGGAGAGCGCCTGGTTGGGCGCTGAGGCGAAGCGACACACCCCGCCACCTGCGCCACAGGAACCGCAGCAGGCGCCGCCGCCGCAGGCGCCGCCGCCGCAGGCACCGCCGCCGCCGCAAGCGCTGCTGCTGCGAGTAACGCCACCGGCACTATAAGCGCCCCCGCAGGCGAACCCGCAGGCGCCTCCGTAGGCGCCCCCGTAGGCACCTCCACAGGCGGCCCCGCAGGCTGCGCCGTTGGCGCTGCCGCAAGCGCCGCCGCAAGCGCCGCCGCAAGCGCCGCCACAAGCGCCGCCGTGAGCGCCGCCGTGAGCGTATCTTGAGAACTCGACGTGGCTTCGAGCGCATGGCATCGGGCACATGTTCACGGCCGCGCGGTCCTCCCACGCCTTGCAGCCTCCAGCAGTGGGGACTGCTCTCGTTGCTATAGCAATACCTTGCTGAGTCTGAGGCTTCGGCCAGACATCTGGCCAGACACCAGGCCGGACACCTGCAGCCGCAAGCCCTAGGTACAGCCCCTTGTTCGCCGGGTGAACACGCTCCACTTGACACGGGTAAAACGTGTGGTCATCATTGGTCGTGTGGTCAATCATGAGTTCGGGGTCAGGCTGTTGTCCGTGGCTGGCCGCATTTGCGGCAGAAGCGAGAGTCGCCCGCCTCAAAAAACAAAAAACGGAGAGCTCTGAGCACTCTGTCACTCTCACTCTGAGTCTTTGATATCTTTGGGCACCCAGCATAGATGTTGCCACAGAAGGGGCAGACCTTTCAATGGTGATCTCATTGTGAAGTGCTGAGTTCACTGGCCAACCTCCTGTCTAAACTGTCTCAGCCCGTAGCAGTAGCATCTTTCGTCAACCTCAGCGGACACTGCAGCATGTGTTGACCGTCGCAGGTAGTCACCGACACTTCAATCCACTTCACAAGGGCGGGACGGTGCGTGACCCTGTGCACTTGCGGCACCTGCCATGTGACTTCGGGACTGGATCGCGCACCAGCGGCTGGCGTGCCCGAAGCCCTGCATGATCCACTCAACGGCTTGGGGCCTGCAACAGGTAGCGGGAGCGGGTAGCCCATGGAGGCCGGGGGCAGCGCCACGTTCGCCACGTTCGCCACGTTCCCCATGTTCGCCCTGTTCGCCCTCGCACCCGGAGCCGGCATGGCCGGCATGGCCGGCATGGCCGGCATCCAGGGTGGCCAAGCCAGGGGCTGCATCGCGGAACCGAGGCGGTCTTTAGTCACAAGTGCTCGCTCTGAAAGCAGGGCTAAGGGCTGGTTAAGTGCGGTCTCGGCGAGGGGGGGGGGGGCTCTCTCCTTTGTGCGGTGTGCCATAGCCCCCTGCGACCTCTTTTTGGCAGTACCCGAGGTCTTCGGTTTTCGGGTTTTTCCTACTGGGAGAACTGAGAGCAGCGGCCGCGGCTGCTTTGAAAGAAAGACGGAGAACCGACAAAGAAAGAGAAAGAGAGAGGGAGAGCTCTCTTCCTCTCCTTCGTGCAGAGATGCACTAACTGACTTTTTAGTAACACTCAGAGATCCGTGGCTCTGCCCCCCGTGTCCTCTCCCCTTTCCTCTTCCTCCCCCCCAACTAACTTCTTCCCATTGTTTCTTGCTTTTTTCTTCTTTCTTTTCTTTGCTCTTTTGTAGCTTTATTCGCGACCGAGACTGGATCTCTCTCTCTCTCTGTGAAGTTCGCCCAACATGCCTGGGGTGTGAGAGCTCTCTTTTTCGGGGAGGGAGAGACGCGCGCTTTTTCTCTGTTGGTGCTGTCTCCAAAGAGGAGGTGAAACGTTGACATGTCCTCGATCCAGTGTCTCCTGCTCTGTCTCAGAGGTTACCTCTGCATCTGAGACCGAGGTTCTGCCTCTGCCTTTGCTGTGGTTGTTTTTTCTGCGGTTGAACTAGAGAAGATCAGGATCACTCCATGCCATCGCGCGTCAGAGACTCTCCAAGCCTGGGGGGAGCGGAGAACAGCTTAGACAGCAGCCACACCTCGACCCACGACGCAGTGTCCCGCTCTCTTCCCACCCCGCTCTCAGCCCATGATTCTTCTTCTTCTCCTTCTTCTTCTTCAATTCGCTCTCTTCTGCACGTCTAGACCCCCTGATCCGCCCCCTGAAGATCCGCGCTCCACGTTGCTCGCCGGCTCCTCCTCGCGGAGGTCGCGATAGCGGCCCAGCAAGGCCTAAGGAAAAGAGCAGAGCTCGTGAGCTCGTGTCCCGAGACGCGCTTCAAAGCTACTCGGATTCCTCAAAGTATACGATATGAACCTGAATAAACTCAACGCAAGAACTCACCAGCGCTCACAAGCACTCACAGGTACTCACAGGTACTCCAGCACAACTTGGCAAAAGCAAGGGGTGTCAATGGTGTCTTGGCCGGAGGCGTTGATCAGCGCCAGCACTCCGAGGATCAGCACGGACACCACGAAGAAGGGCCTTTCTATCGGAAAGCTCGGTCCGCAAGATGAGAAAGAGAAGCTTTTCTGCGCGGCGGTCTTCTGCTGTGTTTTCTTGTTTGTCGCACAGGGCCCCCGTGCACTTTGTACTGTGAGGGCAGCAAGATCAGAGCCACGGCCTAACTTGACCACAACGGCGAACGGCGGACACTCACCACAACGGAGACTCTTAGAGCATTGACTTGAAAAAGTGCATTACCGCCTCTGATCACATCTGGGCACGGGGCCAGCACCACCACAGCACCGACCGCGAAGTAGAACTTGTACCTCTCCGTGAATCCCGATTCTGCGATTCTGTGCGAATCCACTCTCACAACACTGACCAACACTGACCTCTGCCACTGATAGTGCCTTTGCAAGCGCCTCAGTTGCACAGCGAAAGGGTCTTTGACACATCTCAGCATTCAAATGAGATTCAAGGCAGCAGCTTTGCTCCAGAGCTGAAGGCCTTGGAGGCCCCTTGCAGGTCGTTGGTCCTGGCCTTCAAAGACGTGAACACGAAACGTGGCGCGGGGATCAACCTTCACCAGGTTCCTCTCAAGCACCTTCCTCTGCCAGAGGTTCGGCAAAGTTCCGGCACTAGGAGCGACTGATGCATGCCAGTTCACCGAGATTTCGTTAGAGGGTTCCCGAGAAAGGCTCTGAGGGCCGAGACCTCGGAGCCTGCCTGAGCCCTGAGCCTGCCTGATTGAGCCTTTGCAGCATTTGTCTTTTGGGCTTTGGAAAGCGCAGGTTGCTCCAAGCGCGAGAGCCCTCACTCTCTCTGATTTCCTTCAAGCGCTCCGCAGAACAGAAACTTCGACTTCTTACGTTGAGCCCACGGCGGAGCGGTCAACTTACTACTTTGTCGACACGCCTCCACTTGTCAACTGCCCATCTCCCAGCCGCCCCCGCCACCTCCAAGTGATTCAGTTGCGAGTCTCTCTCGGCCATGGCCCGCATGTTGTCCTGGCATTGGGGACGCCACTCGCAGAACGACAAAGCCAAACAACCCCTCCCCCCCCCCCTCAAAAAAAAAGCACAAATACAAAATAAGCAGAACAAGAGCCGATGCTTCGACTGTCTGCTTTAGAGCCATTTCCTGCATCACAGCCATGGCGCCCTGCACCTGGTCCTGGACACCTGGGAATGAGCTGCAGGACCTCTTCTGCGGGTGTGGGTCTCTTCTGGCGATTTGTTTGCCCTGCTCACATGAGGCTCCGAAACCTCGAAAGCGCCCGAAAAGTGCCCGAAAAGCGCCCGAAAAGTGTCCAAAGCCCGTCGTTGCTGCCAGCGGGCTCTGTGTCCGAGATGCGCCATCTTCGGCCTTGAGGAAAACAGGAGAAGAGAAAAGCCCGCGACATAAAAAAGAGAAAAAAAAGAGAGAGACAGAGAGAAAGCCAGAGAGAGAGAGACAGAGACAGAGAGCGCGGGGGACAGACTCTGTCCTCACTCAAATTGAGAAGTGAGAGTCTGGGCGTCTCTCCTCGCTCCTCACCTAAATTAAGCAAGTCCTCTGAGGGGCGGGCCACCGGCATGGGAGGGTGCAAGTCTCGGAAGCAAGTCTCTTTTTGAGGCGTCTCTCTGCGGTGTCGGCGAAGAAGCGAAGGCGAAACATGAGGGAAAAAAGGCCGAGCTGCTTTGGCGCCCTTCTTCCTTCTTCTTTCTCCCAACACTGCCTCTCTCTGCCGCTCTCCTTCGGCAAGCACTCGGTCCTCCAAGCGGGCGCCGAAGGGGCAACTCTGGCTGTTCATAAAGTTAAACTGAGGAGTACTGGTAGTTACTGAGGTGGCCAGAGGCGAACCCACCCCAGTCCTTTCGAGGTCTGGAGTCCCTAATGGTGAGTCTTTGGAGTTTGGTGGGGCGGAGGTAGTGAGGGACGGGAGAGTGCAAGCTCTGATTCCACCTGAGGTTGGGGCGGTTGGGGGTTCCCCTTCGGGTGGTTCCTCTTCCCCTTCCTCTGGGATCAGGGGACGGGCAGTTGTCGGTGGCCGTGGCACTGCTCATGAGGAGTTGGTGTCGCAGGGCATGTTTGGAGGTATGGGTTCAGATGAGTTTGGTGGGTCAGGTTTGCACAGGGAACGGAGTGAATCAGGCCCTAGGGTGTCTCAGCGCTCTGATCAGTCTACGGGTTCGGGCTGAGGAGTCACAGTCATTGGGTGCTCGTAGGCGTGGTGTGCGTGGTCTACAGTCCATACACTCGGGAGAACGGCACTTAAAACGCAAACTGGAAGACGCGGCAGCGGCAAATCTGGGGATCATTCAGCGGCATCGGGCACAGGCGGCACGGAAAAAGGACCGGAAAAGGAAGCGAACTGGACATGTGAAACAGGCGGCAAAACAGGCTCATATTCTGCAACGCAAACAGAATAAGGCACGCAATAAATTGACCTTGCTGACATGGAATACGCGGGGTTGGGGCGCGCGGTTTTCTGAAATAGATCAGGCGATTAAGTCGAGATGTATCTTGCAGTTTATGCAGCACCGCGGGGTTGGCTTGGCGATACTCACAGACCTGAAATTCCGGGAGGTCGGGGTGCGGACATACAAAACAGAGGCGCAAACATGGACTTTGGTCGTAGCAGGGGCCGTGGGTTTTTTGCTAAACGAACGCTGGGCGGCGTGGTGGGAAGCGGGGGGGAGCAAGTTTGGCATGGCGTCAGCGCAGGGCAACGAAAAAATCCGGGCGGCTAGCATCACGTTTCCGAGACAAGGGTGGCGTCGGGGGATGCATGTAGTGGGGGTGTACGCACCGACCTCAGCAGCACGTAAAAGGCAACGGGACGAATGCATGCGCCAAGTGCAACAGATGCTGGAGGAGGCTCCAGCAGCTACGAGTCTACGGGTGCTGGCGGGGGACTTCAACGCTGAGTTGGGCTTGGCAGGGGATGGGGCATGGTCGGATGTTTTAGGTCCGCATGGCTACGTAAAGAGGTCGGTTGCAGGGAAGGAGTGGTTGACATGGTGTCGTCATGAGGGCTGGCTCGAAGCGGCAAGTCAGTTCCACCAACCATGTCGTGGGACGTGGTGGCATTGTGGTTATAACACTGAACACATTTTGGACCATTTCTTCTTGCCTCAAGCCGAACGATGGCACATTACCGCGTGTCGAGTAATACACGGTGGGCATGAGCGTAGGCCGACACGCAAGCGTGTTCCCTGGCAATGGGGGCCATACACGGACCATCACCCAGTTGAACTGACTTTGCGGCAAGGGAAGCTATGGGTTCCTGCGGCGCCCTCCCGGAGAGGGGAGGTCAGGGCGGATGTGTCCAAACTTAATGGCATGGGATCGGCGGTGGCGACGTACCGTAAAAGGTTCGCAGAAGCGGTGGATGAGAAGCTCAGGGCTCAGGGTGAGGGGTTGGCTGACATGGGTTGGGTTGATGTTGTCCGGACGTGCCAAGAGTCCGCGATGGAAGTTCTGGGAAGGGCTATCAAGCACCCGACGCGTCCATGGCTGGAGGGCCATGAGGAGGAACTGCGCCAACTAGATGCGGCCATCACGGAGGCTCGTAGGAGGGATCGCGAGGCTCGAGCGTACTGCAGGCCCTGGACAATGGAGCAGATGAACCAGGCGATGACAACGAGAAGGGATTTGAATGCATCAGGGCGGGACCGGCGGCGCAAAGTTGGGGAGTGGGAGACACGGTATTGGACGGATTTAGCTAGTCGAGCGTTGCAGGCGGACCAGGATCGGGATGTCGGGGAACTGTTCAGGCTGCACCGATTGCTGGGAGCACACAAGGAGGTTAAACGACGGGATGGAGGGGCTGCTCGACCGGCTGACTTTGAGGCAGAGCGGGAGGCTTGGAAGGAACACTTTCGAAGGATACAGGCGGGGTCGGGCTCGGTGCCGGAGTCGGTGTGGGCGAATGTTACGGCGGGTCGGGGAGTGGCACGATGGTTAGAGGCGACACCCACGCGGGAGGAGTTTGAGCGAGTGGTTCGCCAATTGCAAAATCGACGAGCGGCGGGGGAGGATGGGTTCATGGCAGAGTACCTGAAGTATGGAGGGGATCGGATACAAGAGACGGTCTTTCAAGTCTTGTTGCGGGCCTGGGACATGGCGCTACACGCGCGGGAGGATCTTGAGGCGGAGGCTTGGCCGCCGGAATGGCGGGTGGGACTAGTGGTACCATTGTGGAAAAGGAAAGGAGATAAGGCCGATAAGAACACGTGGCGTGGGGTGACTTTGTTGAGTGTGGGCACCAAGGTTATGGCAAGGTTGGTCACCAATCGCCTGGCTCGTTGGTCAGATACCTGGTTACACGAGGCACAAGCGGGGTTTAGGGCAGGTCGAGGGGTAGACGATGCACAACAGGTGTCAAGGAGGGTGGCGGAGGAAATCGCCAGGTGCAATAGTGACGAGGTGGTGTTGCTGCGTCTGTTTGATATTGAAAAAGCGTACCCACGGGTGTGTCGGCCGGCGATGTGGCGGGTGCTTGAACGGCGGGGCTGTCCGGAGGGTATGATCAAGGTACTCAAAGCCATACACAATCACACTAACATGAAAGTTCGAGTGCATGATGGGTGTTCGTCAGTTTATGTTCCTGAGCGGGGGCTGCGGGAGGGATGCCCAAGTTCGCCTGTCCTGTTTAACATCTACCACGATGCCGTCATGGAGGATTTTAGGGTAAGGAGGGCAGCTGCGGCGCAGGAGGTCGGTCAGCTACCGGGCTTGGAATGGGAGTACAAAGTGGACGGTCGGCTGCGCAAGCGCCACACAGTGCGCCAACAGGCGGGACATGCAACGCAAGTCGACGTGATAGGTGATTTCGTTTACGCAGACGACACTGGAATTGTGGGAGTTGCAGAAGAGGCAGCGGGGGCGGAAAAACTGTTCGGGCAGGTTTTGCGGGACTGGGAAGAAAAGCTACATCCGGACAAAACCGAAGGACTCCGACTGTCGGGGTCGGCGCGGCAGCTCACTGATGTGCGGGGGCAAGGGGAGGCGTCGTGCGTGCGGCACGTGGGAGCCTGGGTGGCAGAGTCGGGTCGCACTGTTGATGAAACAGCTAAACGTCGTTCCACCATAGCGTTAAAAACCACTGCTGTGGCGAAGAGTTGGACGTTTGGTGGGTCGCGGACCAGACGCGAGCAATGCAACATGAAACGATCGGTTCGACTCACCATTATGAAGGCAGTTGTCATCCCTACCGCGCTGTCCACGGCTAGAACCCGAGCTTGGGATTCCATGCACATTACTAGGATTGAGCAACTTGTACTTGCCAGCGTGCGCAGATGTTTTGGAGTTAAGTATCAACGTTTGCACGATCTACATATCAGCAATGAGATGTTGAGAAAGGCGGCGGGCTGGCCCAAGGTTAAGCATATGGTCATGCGGGCCTCTCTGACATGGTTGGGCCACGTAGCTCGGATGAACATCAGACGTCGCCCGAAGCAAATGTTGTTCGGTTGGTGGCGGGGCAGAGGGACTAAGTACAACACGTGAACGGGGCAGTCTCGGTGGTTGGAGCATTGTCTTCGGGAGGCGGGCATCCCCAGCGGAGATTGGTTTAGGCTGGCGCAGGATCGCGGTGCATGGCGCGCTAGGGTGCGGGCAGCGTTCCCACATCATGAGCTTTCCGAGGAACAGAAACGGGCACTAACACTGTACCGGCAGGGGAAAGACGGGCGGCGGCCGTGGGGGAGCGGGCTGAAGTAGCTGAGGGAGACATGGAAGCATTGGACGAGGCTGAGGATCCTCCTCCCGGAGGCCCAGAGGGATACAAATGTTGGGTGTGCGAGAGGGTGTATCCTCTAGGTAACATGTTACAGGCCCACTATGCTGAAGAACATGCGGTCTGCGACCCGGAACTGGTAACTACCAAAGTACACACTTGCCCGCGGTGTCAACAGCATTTTCCTACAATCCCCAAGCGGGACATGCACGACTGTCCATTGCATAGGCCGCTCCAGCGAATCAATAAGGTCGACAGAGACGGGGATCCCCCGTACCCCCCAAGCGGCGAGGGTCAACATCCACCCTGTCGTCATGTGTCTACGGATGGCTCAGGCGGTCAGGAAAATCGGGCGGGTTGGGCAGTAGTTATATACGATGAGCCCCCGCGCCGCCCGGTGGCGCCAGACTACGTCTTGTATGGACCGGTGATTACTGAAGCATGGGACCCGAATTTTTTGGGGGCGACAGCGGGCACGAATAACACGGGGGAGTTGACGGCGATTGGCGAGGCGTGCGCGTGGCTCTGGGACATGCGGGAGGAGCGGTCTACGGAGGGTCAGCCCGTCCGGGCGGTTATACACTATGATTCGGAATATGCGAGGGATTTGGCGGTGCGGGTGGCGACGCCTCAGAGCAACCGGGAGTTGGCAGAGCGAGTGGCGGCTTTGGTTGATAGGGTTCGATCAGTCAGACCTTTGGACTTTAGACACGTGAAGGGACACAGCGGGGATGTAGGCAATGACTCAGCTGACTTATATGCGAACCGTGGGCGTATGGGCCGGGTGTCGCCGCAGTGGCGGCGCTGGACCGACGTTCCGGAGGCGTGGGAGGAGGTGCAAACTCGCGATACAG